GGATAGTATTATAATTAACAGAATTATGAACTAAAAAGTGACATTTTCGGGTCCGTTTGTATGGCGGCGAGGTGTAAAAGTAGACCAATTTCAAAAATTTTCAACAGTCTTCGTCTTTGGTGCTACAAAAGATCATATACCAAATTTTGTTGAATTATCTTCAAACATGCTGAAGTTATAAGGGTTTTATTTTTTCAGTCGTGGTTTCATGGAATTGCCCATATGTACTTGCCCATACATACATACATACATATAACAAGCTCGACCACTTCACAAAGAAGTGAATTATTTGAACTATGTCTGAGATCTATGGTCATTGCTTAGGATTACGTATATACAACTTAGTTGTGTCGATTTGTGAAGTACAGTAATCCCTCGATTTATATCGTAATTGGTTCCTAAAAGTGACCTTAATCGAAATGTAAATACCTTATACTAATCGTATGAGAGTTGAATATTAGATCCCTAAATATACTTTTTGTTTAGTTTTTAAATAACATATTTATTTATTATTTTCTGAGCCGATCGAACCATGTCCATCTGCTTTCCATATAAAACTTGTAATGAAAGTACTGGTCGCAATTTTTAAAATTATTCGACGATTTGAAATACATACATGTATTACTTTTGTCCCAAGGACGAACATTTGATTTAGTTTGATATCGGTCCATTATTTAATCTAACCACCATACATCCGGGCCCTCTTAATTGAGTTTTGAAGCTCATAATTATGCCAAATATACTAATATCCAAAATAGGCACAACTACGTTTTATGTAATCATAAATTTCATTTCATTTATTAACCAAAACAATCCATGTTTACATGTTCACTTAAAACTAACAATCTATTTATATATTTCTTCCTCACACACGGGGTGCCTTACAAGGACTTATCAATTTAAAAACTATTTACATATATATAGAACTTACTTACTATAGTATAATAAATTTATATGAATTACATTAAATGTACCAATCTGCACAAAAGTTCCCTAAAAAAAGGTAAAAAATAGGAGGCATTCGTTTTCACTTAAATCTAAACTTAAAACTAATATACATGAGATGAAATATTTACAAAAGATATAGGATAAAAATATGTACAAAGAGGGAAATATATTTACAAAACTTTGGCCCTTGGCCTACTGAGCGGTGTTGTAAACCACGTTACAAATATCTAATGTATTTATCCTCCTGTGGTAGAACAGGAGGTTTGCACCCTCATAGTGAAGACCAGCTTCACTCAAAATCAGGAGGTCGGTCGGTAACAAGTAATGTTTCATCTGAACGGTCTCCAGATCACCTGACCCCATAAAACACTCCCTGACCAAATCGTTCTCTAGAGAACGAGATCTTTCCAGAAACTTGATACCCCTATCCATCATAAAGGCGTCAATTCTCTGGAAATCCATCGTCCTATAAATCGACCTACATGATGGTCGCCGGTAGATGCCGTCAGGTCCAAGTTTACGCTTGAGACCCAAGCAAGCTACCAGGATCCTTCTTTCCCATACCCTAAGCCTCTCCATCTGGGCAGAAGAAATTCTGGACCAGATTGGACAGGCGTAGGACATGAGAGGTCGAATTATCTGGCGATAGAGCAGTAAACCTATTCTCCTGTCCAGACCGTTACGTCCGAGGATACCCCTATACATTGCGTAAGTACACTTCGTGGATTCCAATATGTAATCCACATGTCCGTAGAACTCAAAGTTCTCATGGTAAATGACACCAAGGTACCTCATCCTATCCGAAACCCTCACACACACCCCCCAATCCATATAGAGGGGATGTAGGACCTACTATTGGGGTATAAGTACTTCCGTTTTCCCCTGATCATAACCGCTACTGTCTTGTCCATGTCAGACTTAGGCGCCATTTAGAAAAATAGGGGGCCAATGTAGCCAAATACTCATTAAAACGATTGTTAATGGTTCTAGTCCGGGGTCCAGATGATGCAATCAAGATGTCATCCGCATATACCAATAACAGATCACCCTCCGGCGGTTTGGGGATATCAGTCAAAAATAAGTTGTACAGCACAGGCCCCAACAAAGATCCCTGTGGTACGCCTGCGTGCAACGTCTTTTGGTCAGATCTAGCATCACATAGCCTGACACTAAAAAAGCGGTCCGTAAGGAAATCACACACTATCCTACAAGTGTTCCTATCAAATCCAATGTCCATCATTTTAAATATGATGCCGTCCTGCCAGGCAGAGTCGAAGGGCTTGGAAAAGTCCAGACTGACCGTAATTGTAGGATGTCTCCTGTTTAGGCCACGGGACACGTAGTCCGAGAACACCATCAGGGCGTGGCCACCCTTGAAACCAAATTGACAGTCCGTTAGGACACCACCATCAGAAAGCCTTTTTCCACGCCCTTGGAAAATACCCAATGTTTAAACAGTGGTTCATAAGTATCGCCAAGAATGTCCACGTTCCCGTACGAGTCCTTTTCAGTACAATGTCAGGTATTCCGTCCTGTCCGGTAGATTTCTTGTTGGCCCTTCGTCTCAATGCTGCCCCAATCATCTCAGCAGTAATCAGATCTTGTCCATTCGAGTCTTCTCCGTCAGCAGTAATATCATTCCCGAAAGTAATAAAAGGCGTTCTGTTACGTAGTGTAGATACTCTGCCCCTTACTGTGTCCGAAAATGAGTCATTAGTAGAGTCCTGTCCAGACTGTACATGGAAGAAATGTTCCGCTAGAATGGCGGCTTTCCCCACATCATCAGAAACTAATGAGCCATCCATGTCAACTAAATCATGTACCCCTACGTGTCGGTTTAGTCCGGCAGCTGCCTTAACTGTCCTGTAAGTTCTGTTGTTCAGTTTTATGTTACCCAAATCTTCGTCCAGTGATGATATTAATGAAATATTAACATTTTTCTTAATTTTGTTGTACAGTGATTTATATAAAATTTTTAAAATAAAATTTTAATCTGTTTCATATAATAAATAACAGGTATGATAATTCGCGTTTACAAATTTGTTTAAATTAAAGCAAAAAATAAACTTTAATTACATTTTATATAAAAAATAAGGTACAAAAAATCACTTTTATAAAAGTTTTAAATTTAATTTTAAAAAGACATTTAAAGTTAATAAAGTTACACAAGAAAGTATTAAAAAAAATGCTTAAAATATTGAAGGGTATTTTGAGGATAACAGCATATTCAACATATATCAACATGACTTGATTTTGAAGTACATCACCATGGTTTTCTTTTGGAGGATTTTGTTCTTTGGTTAATCTTTTTTCTTTGAAAAATCTATTCTTGGCTAACTTGATTGCATCTCTTAGATGCGTTTTAAAGGATTTTCAGTCAAATTATCGTCGAAAGTGACATCTAAATTAAATAAATAAATTACAAAATTAAAATATGTTATTAAATATTACTTATCAACCATGGAAAATCGAAATTTTAAAATACTTAGTACTAACTTATAACAAAAAGAGTACTTTTTTAGGTTTAAAAGTACTAAAATAATTTCCAGATAGATGAGATAGACAGACTATACTATAGACTACAGACTAGACTATAGACTAGACTATAGACTAGACTATAGACTAGACTATAGACTAGACTATAGACTAGACTAGACTATAGACTAGACTATAGACTTGACTATAGACTGGACTATAGACTAGACTTTAGACTAGACTATAGACTAGACTATACTATAGACTAGACTATAGACTAGACTGTAGACTAGACTATAGACTAGATTATAGACTAGATTATAGACTAGACTATAAACTAGACTAGACTATATAGACTAGACTATAGACTAGACTATAGACTAGACTAGACCATAGACTTATAGACTAGATTAGACTATAGACTACACAGAAAAAACTGAAAATATGTTTCAATCATCAAAATAATTGTATCAAGCAAGTTTTGCACCTTTCATCAAAATGTTATCAAATTTGTAAAAAAAAAATATAAAAATACTTTTTTTCAAATAACGAATTAATCAGAACAATTAATATCAATAATTGAGACAAAATTTAAAATTGATTAATTCATTAATTATATAAATTAAATATATATATTAAAAATAAAATCTAATTTTTATTAATTTATTAATCAAATGAATTAGTTTGATTGGTAGAAAATTTATTAAAAACCAATTAAGTTGATGATTAAAACAATCAAATTATTAATTGATTACTCACAATGTTAAAGGAATTCTTGACCTTTAACAATGCATTGAGCATTTACAAAAAATATCACTTTATTATCAAATTTGAACATACATATAGTGTTTCATAAATTGTCAAGAAACTTGAATATTATATGCCTAAAATCTTATTGACTATTTAAGAATTATAAACACTATTAGTGTAGGGGTACATTCCCCTTTATAACTGTAAATTTTAATTTAATATTCATTGATTTTAATTTACTTACAAATAATTTTTATTGTCATAAAATGTTCATTCAAATATAATATTTAAAACTTTGAACATTAAAATTTAATTTATAAAATATAATTTATTCTCAAATAAAAATAAAATTTACATATAAAATAAATAACCACAAATGGCGATCCTGCTATTTAAGAATATTAAAAGGAATATTTAAAAAAAGAAGCGATTTTATTGAATTTTGGATTTGGCTCAAAAATCAAGAATCATCATCATAATTTTGAATGTCAAGATCATCAAAGGATATCATTAATAATGTTTTTTTCTCAAAAACAAAAACTTCAGAATATAACAGAAAACTAAAAGAAGAAATGGTGAAGATCATAGAAGAAAATAACCCGCAATAATTTTATAATATATTTGGGTTAAGGATTGATTTGTATTTCCAACAAAAAGAAATTCATACCAAATAAGTATATTTTATTAATTAGTTTTAAATTATTATTAGTATATACTTCCAAATACATCCACATTATTAAATCATATCAATATACAATTGTTTGTTGTTACTTGTTTGTTTATCGTTTATTAGTCGTTATTTATTGTAAACGTTTCCTTCGGAAATCATGCTTACACACTCTCCAAATTTATCACGACCAAATAATACGACACAACCCAATTTAACTACTAATTCTAACAACACTGATAGTGGAAACATAACTGACCTAAATAATCTCTCTGCTCCTACTAGTCCTCAATCTAATATTGAAATTTATTCTACCACTATTAAACTTCCCCAATTTTGGACATATTGTCCAGAAGCATGGTTTATACATGCTGAAATGCAATTTGCAAATAGAAGGGTAACACAAGACATTACTAAATATGAATACATTGTTACTTCTCTACCTCAAGATGTGATAGTAACAGTACTTGACGTCATTCAGAATCCTCCCACAGGTAATCGTTATGACCATTTAAAGAAGATTCTTATTGACAGACATTCTATGAGCGAAAATAGAAAATTAGATAAAATCTTGTCTGATTCTGAGATTGGAGATCGAAAGCCGTCTGAATTTTATCGATCTTTAGCTTTACTTTCAAATTCAAATTTTAGTCCTGAAGTTCTTAAGAAAATATGGTTAAGAAAATTACCAACGAGTTTAAATGTTGCTTTGACTGGTTCGAATTTGACAGATATTAACGAATTAACACGCTTAGCTGATAATATGTGGGATGTATTACATGGAAATGAGATAGCTAGCGTTAACGACAATACTCCAATACATTCCAATTCTTCTAATCTAGAAAAAGTAGTTGAGAACCTTGTACAAGCTACTACCAATATCTGTAACAGTTTCAATAATCTTTCACTAGATATTGCCTCAATTAGAAATCAGTTAGAGGGACAACAGTACAGATCTTTAAATAGACGTTTTAGTAGAAGCCGATCTCGTTCTAGATCTACTAATAGAGATTGGGTTTGTAGATTTCATTACAGATACGGAAGTGAAGCAAGAAAGTGTGAATAACCTTGCTTTTACTATAAACAAAAAGAAGATCCAAAAAACTAACCGAGCCCACTATCGAGGCGACAGATAATGGGAGTTTGAATTTATCAACACGTCGCCTTTTTGTTTATGATAAGAATAATAAGATAAAATTTTTAATTGATAGTACAGCAGATATATCTGTCCTTCCATCTTCAAAATTTAAAAGTCATAAGACTACTTCTGACATTTTTCTGACGGCAGCAAATGGTTCAAGCATATCAACATTTGGTAAGAAAATGTTGAATGTAGATTTAGGATTACGTCGCGAGTTTCCGTTTGTTTTTATTGTAGCTAATATTGAAAAACCTATAATCGGTGCGGACTTTTTACACAAATACGGACTTTTAATAGACATGAAAAATAAAACATTAATTGATCCCCTAACTAAATTACACATTAATACTTTGTCACGTTACTGTAAAATTTCTCTACCAAAAGTTTTCGCTGTTGATAATCAGTATACTAATTTACTTAAGCAGCACCCTTATTTAATATCTGAACCTGATTACACCAAGCCAGTTAAACATTCAACTGTACATAGACTAGTAACTAATGGACCGCTACCTTTTACCAAACCTAGGCGCTTAGATCCAATCAAGTATAAGGTAGCTAAAAATGAATTTGACTTTCTTGTAAAATCAGGTATTTGCACACCTTCAAATTCATGTACAGCGTCTGCACTACATCTAGTTCCGAAAAAGGACCCGAATGATTGGCGACCATGCGGTGATTTCAGACGACTAAATTGTATGATATCCACTTCCCCACATACACGACCTCAACATAAATATGACAAATAAGACAATTTTTTCAAAACTTGATTTAGTAAGAGCTTACCATCAGATTCCTATGGCAGAAGAAGACATTTTTAAAACGGCAATCACCACACCATTCGGACTATTTGAATTTGTACGTATGCCTTTTGGTTTAAGGAACTCAGCACAAACCTTTTAGAGGTTTATCAATGAAGTATTTAATGGACTTGACTTTGTCTTTGCTTACATTGACGACGTACTGATTGCTAGTGAAAACGAGGATGAACAAATGAATCACTTAAAATTAGTTTTTGATCGGCTAGACGAATACGGGTTAAACATTAAATCAGGAAAATGTACTTTTGGAGTTTCTAATATAGATTTTCTTAGCCACAATATATCAAGTGATGGAATGAAACCATCAGAAGAGAAAATATCGGCAATACGAAATTTTGAACGACCAAAGACTGTAAAACAAATTCAGAAGTTTATAGGAATGGTAAACTATTACCATAAATACATCCCAAAGTTAGCAGAATTATCTAGTCCAATTCACACAATGATAACACATGCACTAGAAACTAAAAAGAAAACTGTTGAATGGGATAATGATAGTTTAAAAGCCTTTGAAGCTATTAAGGATCAATTCGCTTCAAGTATCTTATTAAATTATTTTAATAACGAAGCTAAATTGACTTTAACTGTTGATGCTTCTAATATTGCAGTTGGTGGAGTTTTACAACAAATACAGAATGGAATTCCCAAACCATTAGCATTCTTTTCGAAGAAATTATCCCCATCTGAGTCAAAATATAGCACTTTCGATCGAGAGCTTTTAGCAATCTATCTAAATATTAAACATTTTAGACATATGCTAGAAGGAAGGACATTTACAGTTTACACTGACCTCAAGCCTTTAATTTTCGCTTTAAATTCAAAAACAGAAAGAAGTCCACTACAATCGAGACATCTAGAATATATCTCTCAATTTACCAATGACATTAAACATATAAATGGGGACTCAAACGTTGTGGCAGATACGCTATCTAGAGCATTCGAGTTAGACGCCTTTCAACATTCAGATATAAATCTGAAAGTTTTATACGATGAGCAGCAGAAGGATGTGGAACTCAAAGAGATTTTGGAAGACATGAACAGACACCTTAATTTGAAACACGTGAATGTTCCACTATTTAATGTTTGTATATGGTGCGAAACTTGTCAAGAGACAACAAGACCTTTCGTTCCGAATACTTTACGCAAAATAATTTTTGAAAAGTTACATTCAATTTCTCATCCAGGTCGTCTAATTTCTCATCGTTATTTTTGGCCAAACATGAATAAGGATATAAATTTGTGGTCTAAGCAAAGTGTAAATTGCCAGAAGTCAAAAGTAAACAGATACACCAAATCACCGGTAATGAAAATAGATATTCCTAGAGGTAGATTCGAGCACATTCACCTTAACATAGTCGGTCAACTTCCTCCATCTCGTAACCATAGATACATTTTAACAATCATTGATCGCTTTACGCGGTGGCCAGAAGCATATCCAATCAAGGATATTACAGCGTTGACAAAAGCACAGACATTTTTCAGGAATTATATAAGTCGTTTTGGAATACCTCTTAAGATAACTAGTGATCAAGGTACTCAATTTACATCGAACATTTTTACGGAACTAACAAAATTATTAGGTAGTCATAAAATTATAACCACTCCTTATCACCCACAAGCCAATGGTATAGTAGAAAGATTCCATCGACAGTTAAAGACAACAATTATGGCTAATGAAAACTCTGAAAATTGGTATGATATTCTTCCGGTGGCTTTACTCGGTCTCAGATCAGTATTCAAAGAAGATTTGAAAGGAACTTCTGCTGAAATGGTGTATGGTCAAAACATTGGATTACCTGGAGAAGTTGTAGTTTCGAACTTCTTATGATTTTTTAAATAAATTAAAATATTTTAGAAATGTTCGTTCGAATTTATCACATCACAAGAGTAGTAATACAGAAGTATATGTACCTAAGGACCTTTCTACATGCAAATATGTATTTATACATATCGAACAAAAGAAGTCCTTACAAAAACCATTTGAAGGACCTTACAAAGTAATTGAAAGAGATAAGAAAAATTTAAAGTTAGATGTGGACGGTAAAATTAAAACGATTTCTATTGATAAACTAAAACCGGCATACATTGAAAACACAAATACTGGAAATACATTACAAAAATCTAAAAAAAGTGTCACATTTAACTTACTTAATATTAATCTTTCCGAAGGGGGAGTATTGTAGGGGTACATTCCCTTTTATAACTGTAAATTTTAATTTAATATTCACTGATTTTAATTTACTTACAAATAATTTTTATTGTCATAAAATTTTCATTCAAATATAATATTTAAAACTTTGAACATTAAAATTTAATTTATAAAATATAATTTATTCTCAAATAAAAATAAAATTTACATACAAAATAAATACCCACAATTAGCATAAGAAATCAAAATGAAATATTAAAAAAAACTAAAATAGAAAAGTTGGCCAGAAAATTTTTTTCAATCAATTAAAAAATTAATTGAATCAATTAAAAATTTAATCAAATAAACTTAGGTTTTAAACAACGAGATAATTAAGACAACTAAAAAATTGTTTAAATTCAAATTAAAGAAAGAGGAAAACATGTTAATTGAAAATTAACTACCGATAATTTTTTCTGTGTATAGACTACACTATAGATTGGTTTATTGACTACTATGTGAGCCTTCTATCGAAAGTTTATAAGTTAGAAAAAGTACTGAACATGTCGTGGGGGTATCGCGGTATTTTAAGATATCAAAAAGTACTAAAGTACTGAATTTTCCATGTCTGTTACTTATATTACTCACGGAATAAAACGTTGACCAGTCTGGGATAGCTTAAAAACCGTTCTTTATTGTGGCTTCCGTCTACGTTAAAATCAACGAGTAGTTTTTGGATTGATGTAGTTTTCGATTCAAAAACTAATAAAATTACATTTGTTTTTTCATAAAAATTAAAAACTACTTTCAACTAGTTTTTAATGAAAACCAGAACAATAAAAATATCTTAAAACAGAACTTCCAAATCTGGATTTTCAGTAAAACAAAAGAAAATGTCAAATTGAAAAAAATAATATTTAAACAAAATTCGAATATACAACAAATCTTATTAATTAAACTATTTATTGTGTAATATTATAGTTAAAAAATAATATTGAAGTGGCTAAAAGTGCAAAAAAGTAGAAATTAAGGTAAGAAAATGACAAACCAAATCGAAAACTCTTGGTATAAATATATTGGTTCTTAAAATATTGTTTTTGAAAACCAAATGAGTTTTTGATTTGGTGTAAATGGCATATAAATCAAATATTATACTTTTAAAAATGTTTTATATAATGTATATATTTTTTATGATCTTTTTCATTTTCTTTACTGATTTTTCCTCCAATTCCTTCAAATCTTTGAGTGTTGTTATTGGAAACATTTTGATGTGTTTGGGACACTTATCTTTTAAAGAATTCTTAATGACTACGGTATTTTCGCTGAGCGCATTCATAAATAATTCATTATGAGTTTGTATACGTGCTAGATGGGCTGTTAATATTTCATGGTTTTCTAGAAAATAAATAAATATTTATATTAAGTACCTTTTATTTATGTTATCAATATAAAGTTATTTTCTGGAAAGATATTAAGCTTATTTACCAGTTAAGATGTCCAGACTTTTCTGCATACCTTAATCAATTGGAATAGACTTGATTATTGGTCATTTTGATTTCTGTTTAATTTACTCATTTGTGATCTTAAAGGAAAAATAGAGATTAATTTAATATTGGATTCAGTACAACTCCTTCCTTATAAGGAAGTAACTGAATTTTTGTTGCATCCTGTAAAGAAAAAGAGCTCCCTTTTTCGTCCAATTGCCAGTTATCACTGAAAACAATTCCAATATCTACTGATTTTACTGGATATTCAAAAAAAAATTAAATATTTATTTCCAGTGAAATAGCCATTTTCATTAATTTTTGTTATTGTGATATACTTATGTATCGCTTATACAACAAACATTGTCCGGAAACATTGTTTTGTAAATAAATCCTTTATCGCAAAAATAAAGTATTTCCCCATTTCTATTTCTTTTCAATAATTTATTTTCATTAGGAAGAATTATAGGGGTTTCAGAAAAATTATTAAATATT